TTTTTGGTTCCGCATATCATCATAATCTGGACGCCATGTTAAGCCCTGCTAAGAGCCGAAAGTGCCGATCCTACCGTGCTTTTCGCACACTGTTAACAAGCAAACTGGGGCAAACGACGCAAAGCCTACACCTGACATCCTGAAGTCTAAATCCTTCCTGCTTAATTCTGACAGTTCTGAACCCTACAATTAACTTGAATCCTACACCGCAGAGCCAAAATCCTCTGAAGACCGGGGCTGCGAGCCCTAAAGTCTAAACCCGAAGTCCTAAACCCTAAACCCTAAAGCCGAAGTCCTAAAACCTAATTCCCGAACCCGACTTCCTAAACCCTAAACCCAAGTCCTAAACCGCCTAAACCCTAAACCCGAAGTCCTAAACCCTAAACCCTTAACCCGGCCTCTTCCACCAAGGCCCAAGTCTCGCCTGGGGGACCTTCCACGATGCCGAGGGCTGAGCTTGGACATGACCCCCTAACTCCTCACAGGGCTTAGGGTGGTAGGGTTTCCGGGTATGTAGGGTTTAGGGTCCTGGGGTTTAGAGTTGTAGAGTTTTCAGGTTTAGGGTTGGCGGATTTAGGGTTGCAATATAGGGGCCTTTGTACTTAGAATAGGGTTTTTTGGGCACTCAAGACTGTAAGTATAATAAGAAACCCCCAAAATAACATAGGGGATAATTAAGGCACCTATCTTAAAGCTTAAGATTTAAGCTGGTAGGACTTTAGGTTTGGGGTTTCAGAGATTAGGGTGTAAGGAGGTTTTGATGTGCGGGGTTTAAGGAAACCAAACCGTGAAGTCTAAACCCGACGCCCAAGGCCCTGTGCTATAAATGGTGAAACGCTACTCCCAAACTCTATACCTCAAAACCGAATCCCAAAACCTAAGGCCCAAGCCGAGACCCCTAAAAAGCATGTTTGCAAGCGTTATAGAACCCCTTCTTGCGACCCTGACGGAACCCTAAAGGCCCTAAGAAGTGTAGCCCTGAACCCTTTTCCGCTAAGCCGGGAGAGCGGCACCTCCCGCTGGTATGTCGCACTCGTGCAGTGCACGGAGGGGCATCAGCAGCTCAGACTCCACTAGCCGCCTTTTCAGCTTGGGGCTCTTGCTAAGGAACTGAGTTTAAGTTACCACACCAGGGATCTATAGTTTCATCGAGTTTCTTTCTTATGGTAACTTGGGTTAAGTTGAGCTAAGATCCTTAACAAGAACCCAGTCTTGGGGCTCCTTACGAGCATCCGGAGAACGATGCCCCACAATAATATAGGTAATTATTTAGGCTTCTACATTACCAATGTTTCGGGCTTGGGGGCTTTAAGCTTTGGGGCTTAAAGTGTATAGCCCCGGCTCGGCCTAAAACAGGTCTGAGTCTTTCAACCTCGACGTTTCACCCTCGACCCCTGACTCAAACCCCTCTGAGCCCTGAAACCTAAACCTTACACCCTAAAACCCCAAACCCTAAACTCCTAAACCCCTAAACCCCAAGACCCTAACCCCCTAAACCCCTAAACCCCGAAACCCCGAAACCCTAAACCCACAAACCCCAAAAAAAAATGCGGCGAGAGCTGCTTCTGAAGCCGGGCCTTAAGGATGAAAGTGTCGGCTTCCACCGGGCCACTTCCTCGCACAAGTCTAGGGTTTAGGGCTGCTTGAGGTTTAGGGTTTAGGGTTTAGGGTTTCGGGTTTAGGGTTCAGGGTTTACGGTAGGCTTTAGGACTTCGGGTTTAGGGCTTAGGGTTTGGACTTCGGGTTTAGGGTTCAGGGTTTAAGGTTGGGGTTTAGGGTGCAAGAATCTGAACAACTTCGGTTCTGGAGTCTGCGGACTTGGGCTTCAAGGTTTGAGGGTTTAGGTTTAGGGTTTAGGGTTCAGGGTTTAGGGTCTGCGTCTAGGGGCGTAAGGCGCAGGGTCGGGCTAAGGGTTCTGCTACACTTTGGGTTTCGCAGGTCGACGGCTTCGGGGCTTGGGGCTGTCGGGGCCTGGAGGCTTAGGGCTGAGGACTCTTGGGGTTTACGATTTAGGAAATGTTGGAGCTAAGGACTCAGAAAGTGGATTTGAGCCCCTCCGTCTAAGGATGTTCGGGATTTACGGAGTTCAGTGCTGAGGGTACAAACCCATCAAGCAGAAAAGGCGTGTCAAAAAGGCGTGTTGGGTTGGATCGTTGACTGCAATACCTCATCTTTCGTGTTGGAAATGAGGGTTTCCGAACGTTTGTCGGAATGCAGGTACGCACGTTGGTACAGAGGCATACGTGCTACTCATGTATGTACAGCTAGCTCGCCCGCTAGCTAGCTAGCTAGCTAGATGAATAGCTTAGATAGATAGCGCGCGAGAGAGAGAGAGAAACAGAGAGAGAGAAATATATATATATACATATATAGACGGATGGATAAACACCAAACAGCATGCAAGTCAGTCTGAGAGAAGACGAAGTTGTGAGAACCCCCTGGGACGAACAGCAGCTTCGATCCGGTGAAGTCCGAAAAGACACAGAAAGGCAGAACCTTTCAACATCATGCACAGTGTTGAAAAGAGGAAGCTTGAAAACTTGCTGTGGCACAGGCCTCAGGTTCCAACCGACACATCATATGTGATGCAACAAAACTGACTTGTCGGAAACTCCAATCACCATAAAAAGCAATCCGATATCCGCCCCACCGGTGCCTCCGGGCTGGCGCCAACCTCCCGCCCCAAGGCAGCAGTCAGCAGCACCTCTGCAGGCTTGCCTGGGTAGCGTTCCAAACGGCTTTCAGCGTGTTAAGGGTTTGGGGGCTTCGCGCTTGGGGCTTGAAGTTTGCAGTTTGGGGTAAAGGTTTAGGGTTCATGGTGTCATCGGATTTTCTGCTCGGAATCTCTTCGGCGAAAGGATTTGAACGTCTGTTAGTTAGTGTGTACACTCTCCTAGCCACGTAGGACTTCAGCCCTAGCCCCTTCATGTATTGCTCCCCAAGTGGGTTAAATCCCGGTGGTACATGTTTCAGGCTGCAAAACGTGTCGCTCGCTTCTTCAACATGCGCCACTCGCCCGTGAAACCCTTTTCCCAGAAAGACCCTCATAAGTCCGTCACTCATCTGTTCAGACACCTGAAACTTTAGACCTAAACCCTAAACCCTAAACCCCTAAACCCTGCGTAGCCTCGTGCCAAAGCCTCGGCATCCGCGGCGAGAGCGGATCGACCGGCAGCCTCACGGCAACGTCAGAACCTCCACTACTTCATCTGGGTTCTCGTTGAGGAATTTAGTTTAAGTTGCCATAGTAGGGATCCGTAGTAAACAAGAATGCCGCTTCGTTATGGCAACTTAAATTAAATCCCTGAACAAGAGCCCAGTCATGCGTAAAATAGAACAGACTTCTTATCGTGGCAGGAACAAGAAGACTAGTCGTAATAACAATTCTAGTAAGAGTACAAATAAAAATACTTGGGATTTAGGGTGTACGGGGTAAGGCTTCTTTTTGGGTCTTGGGCTCAAGGCTTATCAGCAAGATCTAGACCTGTCAGAAGATCCTGATAAAGCTTTTAAACCCCTAAACCCGTTCTCAGGCTCCTTCTACGATGCCCTTTCTGAAAACCTAAACCCTTGAGACTCTAGACACCCCTAAACCTCAAGCCCTGAACCCCCAACCCAAAACCCTCAAGGCCTGAACCCCTAAACCGTACATCCTACACCATGGACCCTAAAACCCTAAAGCCCTACAACCCCAGAGCCATCTAAAGCCATTAAACCCAACCCGCCTGCCGCTCGGTGGAGACCGGGTGGAGGAAGACCAGGTCGGCGCGCTCGCGGTAGGCCAGCCGGGAGGTCGGGTTGTGGCCGCCCTAGCAGCGGCTCAGATCCGAAACCCTTGCTAAGAGCTTAGGGTTTAGGGTTCAGGGCTTAGGGCCCTGTGCCCTGAATCCTGAATCCCAAACCCTAAACCCTAAACGCACAAATCGAGAAGTGTACTAAGTTTAAAACAAACTTTAAACCCTGAGTCCTGGGATACGACATCCTGCAGGTGAAGCCTCGGGACTGCAGATCGTAAAATTTTTGAGATACGTTGAGCCAGGTTTTGATCCGGGATTTCTGTTGCTGGAGACTATTTTGTAAGGGTCCAAGTACTCCCCATTATAGGACTTTGGGTCCATTTTGGGTACCAAAAGCCATAAATAAGGACTACTTGGACCCATAGGGTTTGCAGTAATCACACGATAGCGGGATAGCAGCATGTCGGTCGTATGCCGGGCTGGCTGGATGGCTGCATTGCTGCATGACGCAATGCTCGCTTAGGCCCAGAGCCTCAAGCCCTGCATTCTAAACTCCACCTACCAAGGGGTCCCTGCAATCACTCGTTGAGCTGTATGGCATGCTCGTGCTTTCGGGTTTGAAGTTTGAAGTTTCGGTAGGAGCTGATGAACTCATGATGTTTCGGTCTCTGATGCAAGGTGGGAAGTGTAGGCTGCAGCTGTTGCCGGACATGTTATGGTTTGCCCGGGTCTTGCACGGAATCAGTGCTCATGCTCTGACTTTATAGATGCTTCGTTGAGGGTTTACTACAGCGTGTAATTAAGCCCCTTGGATGAAATTTTGCATGAACTCAACGCTCAGCTTTTGGGGCGGTTTCCACTTCGTGTCAAACGGAAAAGGCTCCTCCAGACTCTGCGAGACCAGCAGCTTCGCCGTGCCCTTGGGAAACACCGGACATTGATGTGAGTTTGAGAAGCGAAGGCTCTTTTTACCTAGCAAGGGTTTCTGCAGCAATTGTTCGAAGGTTCAAGAGCCTCAGCTGTTGTAACTATCCTACACTTTAAACCGACTGCCAAACTCTGTCGCCTTCTAAAATATATCCCCTCAAGCTCAGACTGCCCGATCTCCCTCGACACGCACTGACTAGCCCCAGTACTCTTCCCGAACCAGCAGCTTTGAACAACCACACCCTAAAAGCCACAGAACCAGAAAGCCCCATCTCCAAGACCTGCAGCCTCACAGCCCAAAATGAAATGCATCTTTTGGCACCCTTGTAGAGTCCTTACAAAAGCCTCCAGGCCCCCCAAACCCATGTAAAGCCCTCAAGTTTCTTCCAAAAGCATTTTAAAGCGCCTTGATACAACCCCTATAAAGTCTCTATCAAGCCAGATACAGCCCTTAACCATTCCGATAATCACCCCATAAGAGGCCCATGTCAATTTCATATACAAGCCGCCCCTACATAAAGCCTAAACCCTAGACCCTCAAACTCCTAAACCCTGCAACCCCTAAACCCTCAAACTCCTAAACCCTAAAACCCCTAAACCCTAAACCCTCAAACTCCTGAACCCTAAACCCCGAAACCCCTAAACCCTCAACCCAACAGACTTTGTTCAGGCCCCGATGGCCTGACGTACCGGACCGGCGCGGAGGCCCTGGCCGGATCACCTCTGGAGCAGCTACTGAGGTGGGCTCTTTGCTGGAAGCCGTCTTTTGACTCTTGTGCTAAGACTCTTAGGTTAGACGTTATCATTAAGGTTAGGGTTCTTAGGTTCTTAGATTTAACGTCTTTTGACTATTCCCCAAGCCTCCAGGTACCTACTATGTCGGGCCCTAGGGGCTCTAATACCCTCTACAGTAGGTACCTGGAGGGTTAGGGTATTGTTCTTAGGCTCTGAGATTAAACCTTATCATTAAGGCTTTATCACACTAATATGTAATGGTTATCATTATGATTTGATGTTAAGCAAAAGAATGACAGAAAAAGCAACGAGTTACTGTCGTTATTAGCCATTATCTTTCTCATTGCTGCTGCTGTTATTGTTATTCGGCTTCTTCTCATTTACTTGTACTATTATGAGTATGTTATTGTTCTTTGTATATTGCCCGATCTTATAGGGTTTCACCAGGTTTTATGGCCCTACATAATGATCTTATAGGGTTGTGAAGAGCTTTGCACGGTGTATAGTCGGAGGTTCACACCAATATTTGAGTGTCGTAGTATTGATCTGCATTCGCTCTTCCTAACTCCAAACATGAATAGACCGTATATGAAAAACTGATTCGATGCCGTCTAGAGCACCAACAAATCTTAAGTACCAGCAGAGCACCAAAAATCCTGAACCCTAAACTGGCCCTAAACCTTGTATAAACCCAAAACGGTCCTCTCTCTAATATAGAGACCTTAATAAGTACCTATAATATTTTCGGGGTTCCTTATTATACTTACAGTACAATATACCCCCAAACCCCTATTCTAACTACTAGGGCCCCTGAACCCTAAACCCTTGTAGTAGCCCTTATAGAACCCTTTAAGGAACCCTTAAACGGAACCGCAAAACCCTAAACCCTACACCCCTAAGCCTCAAAACCCTATTCTATCTCTTAAGGCCCCTGAACCCTAAACCCTAAACCCTAAACCTCAAAACCCTATGCTAACTCTTAAGGCCCCTGCAACAAAGCAGGTGGCACCGCGACTTCGAGGATGAGGGCCTGGCTTCGAAGCCGCTGCAGGCAGAGTCGGCTCAGTTCGGTTTTTCTGAGTTGGGTTTAGGGTTTAGAGTTTAGTAATTTAGGGTTTAGGGTTTAGGGTTTAGGGTTTAGTAATTTAGGGTTTAGGGTTTAGGGTTTAGTAATTTAGGGTTTAGGGCCGTTTAGGGTTTAGGGCTTTTTCTGAGTTTCTTCTGGCGGCTTTGGCTTTAGAGCTTTCGGGTGTCTGGATGTTTGGGTTTAATCCTGTAGTCGTTTGCTGTACCTGGGCCAAGTTCGGGGACGTTTTTTTTGGGGGTGGCAGTGTTTTCCCGAACGGTGTGATAACACTGTCGGGCTCTTGCGTTAAGTGTGAAGAGCATGTGTGTCCATCCCCGCACCGCACCCGCGTCCGATTATTTACAGAGAATCCGCTCTGCCACGATTTTCTGAGGGTCCTCCTACCCTAAACCCTAAACCCTAAACCCTAAACCCTAAACCCTAAACCCTAAACCCCAAACCCTAAACCCCAAACCCAATGCTTGGGGGAAAGCATGTTGGCCCTTTGCCCATGCTCGTTTCTTCCTCGGAAAGCATGGGTCTCCCAAAGGTCGCCCAGGATTTTGGTGTTTAGGGTTTAGGGTTTAGGGTTTAGGGTTTAGGGTTTAGGGTTTAGGGTTTAGGGTTTAGGGTTTAGGGCTGTGGTCGTGTCAATGGACGAAAGGAGGGACCCTTAAAGGGACCCTTGGGGTTATACAGGGGCTTTACGAGACTATAGAAGGGGTAGATAAGGGCTATATAGGGTATTCGGTATTAGGATTAGGGGTCCCTTAGTCGCCTTAGTCGTGAATCCGCCAATGCTTGAGGAAAGGTTGGCCTTGTGTGGTCTCCTTGCGGTCTCTGCGTTGTCTCTAGCTTGTGCTGGTCGTGCTGGTTTGGAGGTTGACTTCAGTGTCGGCTGGCTTTGTATCTCTACTGTTGTGCCCCAAATCATAGGGTTTAGGGTTTAGGGTTCGGTTTAGGGTTTAGGGTTTAGGGTTTAGGGTAAATCCTGGACCGAAGCCCGACCCCCTCCACCCGGAGCAAGTCTCCCCGCATGCGCCACGCACTCAGAGGTCCGGAAAGTCACCGACTTTCATGGGATTTCACCACAGGCGGGCTCGGGTGTCGGGTTTCGGAGGTTGGGATGCTAATATAGGGGCCCTAATAATTAGAATAGGGTCTTGGGGCCTATTCTATACTATGATTATGGTAAGGAGTCCCCCAAATAGTATTGGTAGTTATTCAGGCCCCTACATTATCAATATAGGTGTGGAACCGCAGTGTGAGGTTCAGGTGGGGTGGGTCCCAGGGTTCAGGTTTTACAGGTTTTACAGGGTTTGGGTTTAGGGTTTAGGGTTTAGGGTTGAGGTTCTAGGCCTCCAAATGAAGAAATCCCTGCAAAGACCAGCAGAATCAGCCACGAAGGCAAGCATGGAGTTCAGGTTGAGGGAGGTCGGGTTTCCGGGTTCGCGCCTCAGGTTCAAGCTTGAGCATCGGAAAGTCTACACTCTGAGCCCTTCTCCCAAACAAAACAGTTCCAAGCCCCAACTGCAACCTAAACCCTGTTTCGCCACCCTCAAGTAAGTTCAGGCCTTCTGGGGTTGAAAAAAACCGACAAAGTCCGTCTTTTCATCTTAGTCGTAGTATAAGGGCCTTTATCACTAGAATAGGGTTCTGGGGCCCATTATACTAGAATTCGAGTAAGGAACCCCCAGAATAGTATTGGTGTTTATTTAGGCCCCTACATGAAGCCATTCAACCTTACGAAGCTTTTCTGATACCCAAAGCACGTCTTCAGCTTCAGCTTCCGGAAGCCCCTTTTGTTGCCCTAAACCCTAGGATCCTTAAGTGAATCCGTTCTCAAACCCCACATTAATTGCCTAAACTTCTCCAAAAACGCTTATGAATCCCTGATCAGGCTCCCATAGAATGCCATAGAAACTAGTATGAGAACCCTCATGCGTCTTTTTTGGCAACCTATCTCTCTAAACCCTAAACCCGAAACCCTAAACCCTCAACCCTAAACCCTAAACCCTAAACCCTAAACCTTGAACCCTGAACCCTGAACCCTAAGAAAAGGCTCGTAGCATCGGAGGCTGCTCTGGGGCTGGTAGCAGCCACGTTGCTGACCGCTGCGGTCGAGGAAGGCCAGGAGGGCCCCGGTGTCCTTTTCTTAGTGTTTGGGGTTTTGGGGTTTAGGGTTTAGGGTTTAGGGTTTAGGGTTTAGGGTTTGGGGGTTTAGGGTTTAGGGTTTAGGGTTTGGGGTTTTGGGGTTTAGGGAAATTTAGGGAACAGGGGTTTAGGGTTTAGGGGTTTAGGGGTTTAGCGGTTTAGGGTTTATGGGTTTTGGGTTTAAGGGTTT